GAATAAGTGCTTCCCTGGCAAGCACAAGGGCCTGAGTTCAATCCCTGGTTCCGCAAAAAAAGAAAGACGACCTGGGGTAGAAAGTCAAGGCCAATCTGAACTGCATAGTAAGACCCTGTCTCAAAAAAACAGACAGACAGACAGACAGACAGACAGACAGACACACAGACACACACACACACACACACACTACATTATGAAACTTATTTAAATTCAGCTATAAAGAAAAATAAAGACTGGGCATGGTGGCATGTGCCTGTAATCCCAGGCTGAAAACCAGAGAATCACTACGAATCCAATCTACGTAGTGAGACCCTGTTGACCCTATAGACCCTGTCCTAAATACAAAAAAAAAAAAAGAAAGAAAGAAAGCTAAACTCAAGACTTTTATAGGTAAACTGATGCAACTTGAAACTATACTCATAAGTGAAATAAATCAGACTCACACATGCAAACATATTGTCTCCCTAGTGTAAGAACCTGAAAGAGTAAATAAGATCCAAAAATTACAATAGATACCGTGAAAGAGGAAATTGCTCAAAAGGAAGAACTAGGATGGGGAAAATGAGAAAAGCAGGGGAAAAATATAGAGAGAGATGTATCCCTATATATAGCTATATATACACAAGATAGCTAAGACAATTATGTTACTAATTAATTAGTTCATTAAAAAGTCTGTTTTGTGCCTATATTAACTTTTCATGCCTGTATCTTGTAATCTGAGCAACTGCTTTGAAAATAACAATACACAGTATATTAACCATTGCTAAACTATTATCATGTTTTCAAATTCTGCATTTTTTTTCTGTAAAATAATTTTTTTTATTTTAAAGAGAAAAAAACAAGAACAAAAACAAAGCAACATAAACTAAAAATGGTACAGTATCTCAAAGCAGGAATAGAAAATTAACAATGGTTGTTATACTACTCATTTATGTTATCAAATTTGTTGCTCAGATTTATAAAATAAATTTTTTTAAAAAACTTATTTTTACTAAGTGGCTTCATTTCAAACTCCACCAACTGTGTTTTTATTGTTGCAGCAGTCAGTCAGCCCAAATGTCAAAGCTTCTTTAAAGAAGATTCACTATTCTTGAATCACACAGATCTTGTAGTGAAATAAAAATAATTAAAGTTTCAAAAGACATTAATTCAGAATTAAATAAGAGAACATCAAAAGCGGCCAAGATTTTTTAAAAAAGTGGTTTTGGCTAAAAGCATAACTTACCTAAGAGATGAAATCACTGTACACTTTGTGCCCGCCACGCGTTATCTAGATAAGCAGGCCTTACGACTGTTGTGATTATGCGGGTGTGCGTTATCCTGAAGGCAACCAACAACATTTGCAAGAGAAATGCTAGTTCTAAAAGTAGCAACAGTAACGGCGAATGTTTATGGAGTACTTAACCAGGTTCCAGGCAGCCTACTGAGCACCTCAAAAGAGAACTTCTCTCAATCAACATGATGGTCATAGAACATACTAGCCAACCTCATTCCATTTTATAGGCTTCCCATCAACACAAAACAAAGGTCAAGAGAGGTGAAATAAGTCTCAAAGGTCTCAGACCTTATCAGTAGCTAAGTTCAAATACAAACACAGTTCTACCTTAAACTTGAGCATTCTGGCATTCAATTCTCGAAACTATTCTCACTCCAGCCTCATGGTTCTAACACATCATATTCAATTCATTATCAAAGTACTGTTGGATCTGCTTTCAAAATATAGCAGGAATCCAACTACTGTGACCAAGTGACTCACAGCTCTGATCCAAGATACCATCAACTCTCGCTTAGGTTACTGTAAATGCCATGACGTTGTTAGCAAAGTTGGCCCCTTAGAGTTTGTTCTCAATGTAAGGATCAGGTTAATCTTTTTAAAATGTCAAATACGATACTGCCAGACACAGTGGTACACACCTGTAATACCAGCACTCAGGTGAATGAGGCAGGAAGACTGCCATGAGTTTGAGGCTAGCCTGTGCTACATAGTAATTCAAAGCTAACCTAGACTCAAAAAAGGCAGTATGACCTTTCTGTGTTCAAAACCCTTTGGTAACTTTCTCTCACTCAAAGTCTCTATCATGGATGCCTTAAGTCTTCTATTACCTGTAACCCCTAATCTATCTCCTCCCTAATTTCATCCTCTCAGAAATTTTTGTTTATTTAGAGATTTTCAGCATTTTCCTATCAATGCCAGATAGACACAGAATAAAGTGATTGACAAATACTTATCGGATAAATGAGAGAACCCTGACTCAAAAATGTGTCCTTTTTGACAACAGCCATGATCCATGTATTAGTGGTTCTGTGAGTTGAAGGTGAAGGGAGACAAAGTAACTCTTACACAAGTGCCCCACTTGTTCACAAAGAAGAGCCATTTGCTCCCTTGGGGGTTTAATGGATTTCAGCTCCTCTGAGCACAGTTCAAGGATTTGGCTTAGGATATATCCTGACTCCTAAATAGTAACTGCAAAATTAATCTATAAAGGTTTTTTTTTTATTATTTTTTTTAGGAAGAGGCCAGAAACACATTAGTTCTCCAACTTAGACACCACTGTTAGTTATTTCATGAGTTTTTTGAACTAAAAAATATTCTATTAAGAGCCAAAAAGAAAGTTTCCCATGGACATGTAATATTTATTATTACTCAACTGTCTAGATGACATTCTGTAATTGCTTAATTTCTGGAAAAAAATGTCCAAACAATTTACTATGCCAATGGCTTTTGTACATGCTTATTATCTTGGTCAGACACAATAATAGAGGGAAATTACACAGTATAGATACAAATCTAAACCATTACTCTTCCCAACTCTATCTATGTCCAATTTGCTTTGTTCCAAGTCTGAGCTCTTAACCTTAGCTTCTGAATATAAGGAAAAAAGAACTGAAAGAAAAAGATAGACGTGGATGCAAACAAAGCTAGTTTAAAGTAAGCTAGCAGGGCTGACGAGATAGCTCAGTGGACTAAAGCGCCTGCTTAGGCAAACTTAGGAAAACACAGGAACCGTGGTTGGATCCCCCAGGGCAGGCTGAGCTGGCCAGAGTCGCGGCATAGTGGCACACACCTGTAACCCCAGCACTGGGGAGGCTGAAAGCAAGAGGATCACTAGGAGTCCAAGCTGCATAGTGAGACCCTGTAACAACCAAATACATTTAAAAAATAAATAAAATAAAGTAAGCTAGCAGATATTGTGCACATAAATTATGAAACACATAATAGAAATCTTTAGACATTTAAAGGTATGTGACATAAAGAAATATTTGTAGAATAATATTGCTAAACTGAATGAAGTTTAGCTTAATTCTAACTTCATATACATTTTAAATTTGGCCTAATGGTCTCTCTACACAATAAACTATAACTCAATTTGATGCAGTCCATTCACTGACACCATACTCTCAGAACAAACAGGCAAGTTTCAGCCAATCATAGCAGCAAAACTTTCAGCCAGTCAAAGTTGATAGCTGCCAAAGCATGATCATACAAGGCAAAAGCCAATTGCAGTCAATCTGCTGTTTGTGTACGTCACTTCCTTTTTCTAGGTACAAATATGGAGACCCTTATGGTGGGGTAAAGTATTCTCAATTATTTTTGGTCCAGACTGATGGGCAATTCATAAATTATTTCTTTGCTTAAATTAACAATGAAATTTAATTTTTCTAATGCTTTTTAAACACTACTTAGAAAAGCAGGTTAAAAATCATATATAACTTGGCTTTAAAATATTTGTGGTCGCTTATTTCTATCAAGTTATGATTATTTTTTTGTTTTTTTTTTGTATTTTAGTACAGGGTCTACAGGGTCTCACTACGCAGCTCAGACTCACAGTGATCTTCTTGTTTTCATCCTCCCGGGCACTGGGATTACAGATGTGCCTGACTCAGTGAGCCCTGGGGGCAGGGCTAGCATGGCATGCCAGGGATCGAACCCTGGTCCCTGCATCTGCCTAAGAAGGTGCTTGGGTCTGCTTAGCTATCTGGCCGGCCCTCATGATTGATTTTTAACCTGTTTATCTCAATGATGAACTGAAACTAAATTTCTTACCTCCATGGCAATATGGGAACTCATTCAAATTGATCTAAACTAATGCAAGAGGGGCTGGGGAGATAGCTCAGTAGAATAAGCACTTCGCTGGCAAACTCAAGGGCCTGAGTTCAATCCTCAGTTCCCACAAAAATAAATAAATAAATAAATAAATAAATAAATGCAATAAAGTAATGCAAGGGGCAGTAAGATAGCTCAGCAGACTAAAGAGCCTGCTTAGGCAATCACAGGGAACAGGGCTTGATCACAGCACCGGCCCACCCCAAGGCACACTGAGCCATCTGTAATCCCAGCGCTGGGGGGGCTGAAAACAAGATCACTGAGTCTGAGCTATGTAGTGAAACTCTGTGCCAAATACATTAAAAAAGAAAAAGAAATACAGCCTTTCTATGGAATTAGAATTGCATCTATAATATGTACATGCACACACAGACTATTAGAAAATACATCCTTAGGATAATAATCCTTCATTAGAGAAAAAAATAACTAAAGCTTTTAATGGTGATTGTCCCTTCCTAGTGGGTCGTAAGGACCATTATTCATATATCTTCATTTGATTTTTTTTTTTTTTTTGTATTTTAGAGAAGGATCTACAGGGTGTTCAGGGTCTCACTACTAGATTGGACTCATAGTGATCCACCTGTTTACAGCCTTCCAAGAGCCGGGATTACAGGCATGCGCCACCATGCCCAGTCTCAATTGCTGTCACAGTGTGCCCCGGGGAAGGGGCTGGCATGGCAGGCCTGGGGTGCATTGTTTTCAATTAAAAAAATAAAACTATAAACTAAACTTTATTCTTATGTATTTGAGTAAGGAAAAAGGGAATGGACAGTATCTCCTGAACTTAGGATTTTCCAGCTACTTCACATGTACACACAGTAACTTTCCAAGAAGTGTAATATAAACTCAACTTTAAACAATAAGGTTTTTTCATATAAAAAGTATTACATACCTTCTAAACTATGTGAAAATTTATAACAGTCAAGTCCAAGCAAGAAATAGTATCTTCAGATGGAGAATATGGTCAGAGTCTGGGCAGGCCAACAAGAGCGGATGCAGGACCACTGCCACCCTGTGACCAACGGGAAGAAAGGGAGGGTGACAAATAGGTTTCCTAGAAGTTACAAGAATGAGATAAGCGTTTGCTGGAAGCCAGGGTACAATGGGTATTCTGCAATAAACACAGTTGAATATATAGCATGTTGTTTTTAGGACATTCACAGAAGTTTCAATTTGATGACAAATGATATAATTTAGCCAAGTTCAGTGGCAGAGAACAAAATGACTGCAGCTTTAACAAAAAGGTTGTAATTAGTTCTGAAATTCAGCTTTACAACCTCTTTTCTTTTTTCGTACCAGGGATCGAACTCAGGGCCTTGTGCTTGCCAGACAGGCACTTATGTTGCTGAGCTATATCCCCCACCCTACAACCTCTTCTAAGGCAGAAATAGGTTGGAGTTTTGAAGATCAGAAGATCTTTTGGTGGGCTGTGAGAGACACGGCTTTCCTTTACCTCCTGCCTAAAGGCCTCGAGGCTTTAATGGAACCTTGCTAGATGGTTCTTAGAGACCAGGGTTTTGGAGGTCACAGCAACTCAGTTCTGCCTACCTTTCTGGGGAACTCATTTATTCAGTACTTATCCAACACTTATTAAGTGCAAGCACTTTTCTAGCACAAGTGAACACAGCAGAGGACAAAGCAGACAAAAATTATGTGTCTTGCGGAATCAGCATTCTAGTGGAATTGAACATTTTGGCTAATTCCAAAGGTGAATTCTGTTTGGATTCCTTGGCCCATACTGAAATTGGTAAAGGGGAATGGTGAAGAAACTTTCATACAGAGGTAGCAGTTTTACTCACAGATGACAACGGTAAAGTGAGCTGACAGCCAGATGAGATACATTTACCCAAACTCCAGGCAAAGATCACCAGTGTTTTCTCACTAGGGTTAGAATGGAGGTGTTTCCAAAGTGACAAGCGTCAGCCTTAAATACCTGCCAAGCTCAGATGTTCCAGCCCTTAAGCCCACAAGGGTGGCAGCCAAGTTAAGAACTTTCTACACCTTTCCATTTCCACCTGGAAGACAAGGCAACCTACTTGGTGTTTGTGGTGGGAAGGTGTTAGGAGAAACACCCCCAGCAGGGACAAAGACAGTAAAGCAACCATTTCCCCTTTGCCTCGGCAGGGTCAAACTGGGGGAAACAAGGAACTTCTGCCTTAAAACTGTAGTATTCAATGTTAATGCCCAATTCAAAGGTGTTTAGTGGGCTAATTCACTTTTAAAAAAAAATAAAAAACTTGTGTGTCAGGGCATTTGATACTATATTTCAGTCAAGGATTGGGTGTGCTTTAACATGTAGCTAGAAATACTGTAATATTTGCAGTGTACCCTCTGCCTCTCACTCAACCTGTCAGTTGCAGTTACTAAACGAGATCTACATAACTGTAGGAAACAATGTTCAACTTTGCTTTTAGAATTTACTTTCATCTGATTCTTCAATGCTTGATTTAGTTTACTAATGAACTATAAAAAGTAGTATTCTGTCTACTGATCCAGTCCCCCTATAAAATATCTTTAGTGATCATTTTTCAGCTCCTGGTTAGAAAATAAGTATCAGGTACGCATGGTGGCACCTGCCTGTAATCCCAGCATTTGAGAAGTCCAGGTAGGAGGGACTGCTGTGAGTTCAAGGTCAGCCTAAACTACACAGCAGGACCCTGCTGAAAACAAAAGAAAATAGAAAATCATATTGTTTGCCTAGTTTATGAGGTTTTAATAAGTGACTTAAATTTTGACCAAAAAGCCAACTAAATGTCCCTTCTCTTGGTCTACAAGCAGAGCTTTGATAACAACTGCTCTGAGGTGTTAGTTAATACTGTGAATGAAGAAAATATATACATAGCGCCAGTTATTAGCATAGGTAGGTTTTAGAGTGATTCACTCATTCATTCATGCATGGAAGATGTAGTGAGTGCCTGCTATATAATGCCAGCTTTTGTTCCAGTTACTTAATAAAATTTTAAGTAAAATTTGAAAAATTTGAAAAAATTTTAAGTAAAAAATTCCTATCTTCAGATGTTTCTTAATTCTCTGCTATTTTATTCTATAGTTTTTTTTTTGCAACTTTTATTTGCGTTCTAGTAATTTTTTTCTGCATAAAAAAAGCTAACCATTTATAAAAACTTAAAAATGTATTACTATTCTTACTAACAGGAAGCTCCGACTAGTAGGAGTCAATAATAAAATGATTAACACAGTAAGGTAGAAAAGGAAATGGAAATTCTCTAAAACAAAGCTAGGACTGGTGAGATAGCTCAGAGGACTAAGTGTGCTTAGGCAAGCACTGGGAGAGGGGTTCGATTCCCGGCACTATAGGCCACACTGGCCCAGACCTAGGTGCACTGAGCCAGCTTGTAATTCCAGTGCTGTGGAGGCTCAAAACAGGAGGATCACTGAGTCCAGGTTGCATGGTGAGACCTTATACCAAATACATACATAAAAATTAAAATAAAATAATAAAGCTAATATGTCAAAATATTTCATTAGTAATAAAAAATTAAAATCAGAGGGTTTTTTTTCTACCAACTTGACAAAGGTAAAAAGTACTTACCATCCACTGTTGAAGTAAACTGTCAAGTACTATAGAATATTAACTGATAATAACTTTTTGGCAACTTATTCATACTTAGCATAATTATAAATCCACATTTCCTTTTGATTTCACAACAGTACTTTCCTAAACTTATCAAAGGTATAATCAGAAAAGTACACAACAGGTATGCTTGTACGAGAGTAGTGATAGTATTTCTATTAACAAAAACTTAAAAATAATCTTACTGCTCACAATTATTATAAGTCCAAACAATGGACAACTATGCAACTCTTGAACATAGACCATTATTTGTAGAAATGATGAGACAGCTATAACTTTATAAACATGAGTTTATTTATACAAAATTTTGTTATGCATTTATGTGATTTGTGTAAAGAAATGTGGAAAACAATTGTGAGATGTTCATGTTACATGACCCTTTTTTTTCTGGTACTACAGAAGTGGGCATTGAAACCAGTGCTTTCCCACTGAGCTACAACCCTGCCCTTTGATTATACTGATGGATTTTTTTTTTTTTTTTTTTGACACAAGGCCTTGCTATGTCCCCTAAGCTGGCCTTGAACTCACTATGGCAGCCAGGCTGACTTCAATATCATAGCAACCTCCTGCTTCAGCCTCCCCAGTGCTAGGATTACAGACATGCACAAAAGCTTTAGGCCCTTTATTCTACTTTTTTCACCAAACTGCTCAGGCTAGGCTCAAACTTGTGATCATCCTAACATGACAATTTTTAGAAAAATATTTATTTAACCAGTCACCCAACATTTATATTCATTCATTGAGCAATATTTTTTAAGCACATAATACATGCTAGGCATTATGCTAGGTGCTGGGCAAACAACTATTTACTCAATTTAATTCACTAAAATAACAGTACTTTTTAAAAATAACAATAATCAGTGTTGGTCAATTTAAAGAGGACAATCTCAAATACTACTGAGAGTATAAATGGAATAGAAAGCCTTATAATATCGATTTCATTTGAACCTACGTTCTATTTTAATTTACTTGCTCTGTAAAAAGCTATGGTTGGGGCCAGGGAAATGGCTCAGTAGAATAAGCACTTGCCTGGCAAGCACAAGGGCCTGAGTTCAAAACCCCAGTTCCACCAAAACTTGGTTGCTGTCTTAAACTATTTCATCTAAGGACATCTTTTGGTTAAAAAAATGGTATCAAAAAGAAGACGTAGGGGCTGGTGAGATGGCTCAGTGGTCTAAAGCACCTACTTAGAACAAACTAAGCTGAGCAAAGCACAGGGACCGCGGTTCAATCCCCCAGCACCACATGCCAGCCAGCCC